TCCCCTCCACCAGGCAGGAGCTGGTGAGTTTGGGGGGGTTTGTTTGTTTGTTTTTAAAGGGCCGGGAGCTGGGGTGGGTGAGGCAGGCATGGAGGGGCTGGGACAGTGGGCAGGGATCATAGGGCTTGTGGCAGAGCTCCCCCCCCACATGGCATCAATCAGTGGAGGCAGCAGGGATCGCCCCCTGCTGGGCAGGAGCCGGTGAGTGCGGGACTTTTTTTTTTCCAAAGAGCCAGGAGCTGGGGCAGGCTGGGCAGCCATTGAGGGTGGGCAGGGGATGGGTCCTGTGTGATTCGGAGATTTGGCTGAATCAATTTGGGACAGTGATTCGATTCGAATCACTATCCCCCAAATCGGCCAACTCCAAATCCGAAGCAAATACTAGCCACTTCATACAGGCCTATTTTACAACTACCACATTTTTTCCTGGTTTTCAGACTCAGTTCATTGTCTCCTACTGGGAACTTTGTGGTTTGGGCACTTCCAGAGCTTGTCACTGCTATATATTTAATCCAGGGGCGGACAATTATTTTGGGTAGAGGGCTGCTTACTGAGTTTTGGCAAACCATCAAGGGCCACATAACAGGCAGCCCAGGGCAGATAAATATTAATTTTCTAAATTTTTTTAGGGGCCCTGCAGTCCGGATAGAACAGCCTGGCAGGCCACGTCTGGCCCCCGGGCCACATTTTGCCCACCCCTGATTTTAATCTGTGTCATATACCTTCCAACATGTTTACACAGGATTTAGGTGCCTAAATCTGGTATTTATATAAGTACTTATGTACTTATGCTAGTGCCCAATCCTGCTGTACATCTTCAAAGCACTTTACACACGTGAATCCTCGGAAGTCTTGCACAAAGTAAATGTAGTCACTGGATCTAATCCAAATCTTATGAAATTCAGGGAAGAAACTCAGACTGATTTTAGTGAACATGGGATCATTTTCACAGGGATGGCCATTTTATTGGCACATTTTCCAGGGAAGATTGAATACAGGAGACTTCTGAACTGGGACAATGTTATTAGATTTCTCCTAACTGGAAGTCACTCAGCCAAAGCCAAGTGACTATGCCATGTTTAACCAGAGTGTTAAATAAATGTGAAATTCTACAATCTTCTCTGTCTAACACAAAAGTTGCCAAATTCACTTTAAAGAAATATGAAAAAAGAGATGAAATGCTCTGAATGTTGTTCTCATTCTTGCATTTTTGGTATAATATATTCTAAATCTATTCAAGACTAGCTTTCCTTTCTAAGTGGCCTCTTCTCTTAATCAAAGCAGCTGCTGACTTGGGTTGATAAACCACTCACTAGGTTGTCTTAAATAAGAGTATTCTGCTCTGTTATGCCTATCTTATTAATGGGAAAACGTTCACTGACTAGCCAAGGACCACACAGTGAATCAGTGGCACTGTTGAAATTAGAACCTAGGGCTTCCCGTCTCCCAGCCTCATGCTCGAATCGCTAGATCATGCTGTTTCAGGGGGGCTGCAATTGTTCCAGTCATGCAATTTTGCTAAAGCAAGAAAATTCAGACTATTTTACAATGAAAGAGCATTTGCCCAGGTATGTTGCTAATGTTTATCCATTGCACCAGTGAGTGTTTCCGCATGGAAGGTTTCATGGATCTAAGTGGTATCTCGGGCTACCTCAATGGAGCAGGTTTCTGGCATGGCCCTGAATCAGCATACAATTATTCAGGGATATCTTGTGTGGTTTAATGTCTTTAAGTTAATTCAATCTTCCCGTAACATCCTTCATCGTAATGCTTATTGCCCAAGCTGGTGGGGGACAGAGTTGATTTTTGTCTACTAATGGACAAAGCACACTCAGACAGCAAAGTACTTGAAATGATTTACAGGTCTCTGTTCCTACTTTGAAGATAACAGGGCAGTTGTTTCATCCTTCCCAGGAGCAAAGTGCCTCTCGGACAAATCTCTCAGATACTAAAGCCCAGAGCACTTAATCCTTTTCCAACCGGGGAAGGCTTTTCAGGCAGAGCTTCCGTCCTCTAACTCGTTATGTCTCTTACAAGCATTTGAAAACATCCATTTGAATCCATATATTTAACACTGATGGGATTGGATCTTCCAGCTTTTATCAGTAACCTGCACTCTTGGTATTTCCTTCTATTTTTGCACTGAGCAGCAGATGAAGATGAGGATAAAGACGATGATTTCCGAGCTCCGCTCTACAAGAACGTGGAGATTAAAGGAATCCAAGTACGGATGAAATGGTGTGCCACTTGCCACTTCTACCGCCCACCACGCTGCTCCCATTGCAGCGTCTGCGACAACTGTGTTGAGGTAACAATCTTCTTGATTACTTGGTCTGTTGGCTTGAGCTTGGATGGTGGAGCTCTGAACAGCTGGGTGATTCAACTGGGGTACGTCCCCAGGCTTCCTTTTCTGAAAACTTAAGTGTCAGAGGGCCAGATTTTTAGAGGGTGTAAACAGCTGTAGCTCCATTGACACCAGTGGAGCTATGCTGATTTATTAGTCTCCAGTGAAACAGAGTTCGGCAGAGATGTCCCTAGGGTGCGGCAAATTGGGGCAACCATCCCAGGCCCCGCGGAGCTGGACAGAGTGGCTGCAGCCCGTCCTGCGGGGCCTGCCTGGAGCTGGCGGCTCAGCCTCCCACGGCAGAAGAAGCATGGAGACCTCCCCCAACTTGCGGGGGTACCACAGCCCCGCACAGTGTTAAGGGGGCCCCGCACAGGCTGATTTGCTCTGGGCCCTGCACCCCTCTAGGGTCGGCTCTGGAGTTTGGTATCATCAGCCTTATCACGGGTGACATTTTCTCAAAGCGTACTCAGTGCAGTTTAGTAAGGCTGAGCACCTCTGCCTTGGGTGTGCTGAAGACATGTGAAGCTGGAAATGGTATCAGGAAAGGTGACGGTGGAGTGGCAAAGTTCAAAGAAGTGAGGGCAGCCAACTTCACCATTCCTGATCCTTCGACTTTATCAGTCTCACCTTCATGAGAACCAATTTGTTCCAAATTAAATATACAGCCCTGAATAGTAGAAGGAACATTTTTTTCCCTCTCCTTGTAAATCAGAATACATTTAGCAGCAAGTTAATTTTTAGAAAGCCTGAAATCCAAACTCTTGTCTCTCAAATCCATTAAAATACTGCCTGCCTGCTTCTGAACTACAGTTATGAGTCCCCTGGCCATGACCTCATTCATGCTTCTAATTCCTCTAAATTATGAGGCTTTGACATATGTTGATAAATCTGAGGACTTTGATGGAGCACACAGGATATTTAAACAATAACCCCAAAGTAGTGGAGTGTGATATTGGGCCATAAACATCTCCCAAGCTCATAAATACAGAGGACTGTTTCCGTGGTGGTTTTTTTATTACCACAGGAGATTTTTATCACTAAGCTACACATTCCACTGCTTAAGGTTCATTTCTACTCTAAAGTGTTTTTTTTTTTTAACAGAATGATTAAATCTTTAATACCTTTAAAAATGTATTCACCCCTGCAGTTAAAATTATGGGAATGTTTAATCAGCAACGGGCTAAACTCACTGAGTGAATATTCTCGTCAGTCCAAACGCGCTGTACTTTACATTGGGCCAAATCCTCCCTGCCTCAGGGACATCAGAGGAACAGTCACAATAAAAGCAGCAGAGCAGTTCATGTGAGGAAAGGCAATTCTGGCTTAGTCTACATAGTCATTTTATACTTCCAGCAGAGCAGTCTTTTAACTTACAGCTGGGCTGCGTCTAATAACCATTAATAGACGATAGGACAAGCTTTTCGTGCTCCATCTTGGTGAGCATCAGAAGGGCACTGAAGCTGGGGAATGAAAGAAGTTGGAGTCACTGAAAAGATATCAGCAGCTATGACATCTATCTTGTTGGATCTCTGTAGACTGCTGGATAAAACTAGATTTTTCACTTGAAAACTAGACAAGCTCATCGTTTTGAATTAAAATGTGAAGTTTCACAATGTATAACACCAAAGTATTTCAAGGTGAGGCTATATGTTTAACTTCAGTGTCAAATCCCTTTTTCTTCTACATTTCTGTGCAAAAATTTTATCTTCCATAGGCCTAGTGTAGCCACAGATTGCTTGAAACTAGTGTAAACACTTAAAGTTTCACGCAGCTCTAAGGTCTACAGTGGCATGAATTTTGCAGCTTCTTTCGGAAGAGAGAGAGACAAATGAGAGAGAATCCTAGATTAACTTCCCCTTGCAAAGCAAATGGCCTTGGCCTCAAAAGCCATTGAGAAAGCAGGACTCCTCTGCTTCCATCCTAAGGAGCTTTAGTGATGGTCTGGTTGCCGTTCTGGTTGGCTGGCAGGAAGCCTCTTGCTGTGTAATTAAGACATGGTTGTGTACAGAGAAGTATAAACAGAAGCATTAATGACTCCCAAATCAATAAATTGCAGTTTCAGGCTATGTTGCATATTGATTCTTGTGACGCTTACTTCTCAAAGAGCCTGCGCAGTCCAGCAGTGCCTAGAGAGGGTTATGGTGAAGAGTCTATTGGTATTTCTATTATGTGACCCATTTAGGAAGAGAGAGTAATTTGGTTCTTTTAATTCACTTTTAGGTTGTAACTTGCAATAAAAGTTTATGACCTCGATAGAAATCTTTTGAGTTCCCTTTTGAAAGAATTTGGACTGATTCTGATTCAGAGATGTGCAGTGTCCAGGTTTTTAGAGAGAGGCTCCTTTTCATTATGTCACTTATGAAGCAAAACAATTGACATGTAAAATCTTATGTGGCCAGCTGGATCTGCAAATGAATCTGTGACAGCAACAAAATAAGCACGACTTTTTGTTCGTGAAGCTGAGGTTTAAATTGGTCTTTATTTCCAGATATTTTGGGATGCATATAACCAGCTCTGAATTATAAATGCTGGGCCTGAACCAATCTTGGCTAAATTGCCTGTCTCTTTTTTTCTGCTGTGCTTTAAGAGAGCTCTAAAACATTCTTCTCTCCTGTACAATGTACTTACTGCAAAATTACAACTTAATTGAAAAAACACCACTTTGTCTTCAGGAGAAAGTATCTATTTAAATACAGTATCATTGCACAGCAAAGCCAAGGCACAACTGACAGGCGTAAAGAGTGTATGACCCCAGCTGCAAAACAGGCAAAACAGAACAGATTTGCTCACTGCAGGCCCAACTGTGCTCTGACTTTCCCTGTTGGGGCACAACCCCATTGGACTCACTGGAGTTAGTGCCATAAAAACCCAGTGTAAAGGAGCTGTAAATGGGTGTACAACTCGTACTCATTATACTTCTCTCCTTAAGAGGATCCAACTTGGTGGCACACTTGAGCTATTGATCAGGAAAAATTGGGCATTTCAGATTGGGAACTTACATTTTGAAGTCATCCAGAGCTTCCTACAGATTTGCTTCTCTTCTTTGACTGGCCTTTGGCAGCTGGGCAGTAACCGTAGCATTGCCAGGCGGTAACCATGCGGTGACAATACTGCACAGTGGTAACGAGCTACCAGGCAGTAGCATCAGCTCATTGCTACCACGCGGAAGCATTGGGCAAAAACCATGTGGCAACGATACTTTTTCAAGAGACTATTAACTTGCAATAAAAAAACTCTGGATGCATTTTGTCTTTTTATGCAAAACAATGGAAAGCATTTTGCAGCTGGCAGGGGTAGTACAGGCTTGAGACATTATGGCGTATGGTGATCTTACTATGACGACTTATGGTTTATAATTATAGAATGCAACGTTGTCAGTGCCAGAGAGGAAAGTAAATTCTCTTCTCCATATATTGTGGTCTACCTGAGTGGAGTCCTTGGGACAACCCATCAAAACGGGGGTATGCCAAGAGTACATGTGCACGCCAGCGCACGTTAAGAAGTTCCAACCCTGACGTGATCTGACTTGAAGTTCACAAGTTTTGGATAGCTCCGGCACTATGGTTCAGACTTTTATCTCTAAGTCACTGTTTTGGTTTTTTTTACTCGGATATTATTCCCCCTCTCTCTCTCTTTACAAGGATTTTGATCATCACTGCCCATGGGTGAACAATTGCATAGGACGGAGGAACTACCGATATTTTTTTCTCTTCTTGCTGTCCTTAAGCACGCACATGGTTGGAGTGTTCACTTTTGGGTTGATCTTTGTTTTAAACCATGTGGAAAAGCTGGGGGCAGCTCACACCACCATTACGTATCCTTCTGTTTGAACTGTAAGATGTCAAGGTGCTTTATGGAAACTATGAAAAGGGATCTGCACACCTGCCTTTTAGGAACTGAGGAGATCTCCAATTCCTACCATTCTTCTGTTGTAACTACCTGCCTAGCTTCCCCCCTCTGTTTGCCTGACCTGTGAAAACATCAGTTACTCAAAGGGCTGATTGCCATTTTGGAGGTATCTCTGTTATCCAGTGCTACCATACCAGAGAGTAGCATTCTCCCTCCCCCACTGAAATTCCTTTAGTTATAGTTGGCTAGGGGTCCACTCTTCTTGGCCTATACTGTTGAGTAATATTACTGTGTTTAAAAGAGTTGCTACAGAGCGTTATGCACAGAGCTGCTTGCATTGGGGTGGTAGCTTACAAGATCCAATGGTCTTAAACTCCTCCAAGACCGTTTCAGGCTGGACATAAGGAAAAACTCTCTACTGTCCAAGTCCCCAAGGCTTGGAACAGACTGCTTCCAAAGGTGGTGCAAGCACCTACTCTGAACACTTTTAAGATACGGTTGGATGCTTATCTTGCTGGGATCCTTTGACCCTAGCTGACTTCCTGCCCCTGGGGCAGGGGGCTGGACTTGATGATCTTCCGAGGTCCCATCCAGCCCTAATGTCTATGAAATCTATGATTCCTATGTACTACATAGGTTTTTATAAAGGGCCCTGAGGCCAGGCTGCACAGATCCCGCACCAGTGCTGTTTCCTCTAGTCCCTCTGCTCCCTGGCTGTGGCATGGACACAGCTTCTCAGTGGTGGGGAGTTGTGCTGCAGCTGGGAGCAGGAAGCTGGAGGATGCAGCAGCAGCAATGTGGATGCAGCTCCCCCCTGCCTGGCTTCAGCACAGCTTCCTACCAGCTGGAAGCTGCGCCTGTGCTGTGGCTGGGAAGAGTGAGCCTGGGTCAAGTGGAGGCAGCAAGGGTGCAGCTCCCAGCTGCCTGGCCTTGGCACAGGCGCAGACAAATTACAGAAACCAGACTGTAAACACACACACGTAGACACACACGTTACCTCCACAGAGTAAGTGACCATGCAAATATCTTTAAAGGCAAAAAGTAAATGGCCAGATCCAAAGTTCATTCAAGTCAATAGAAATATTTCCATCAACTTTTAATGGGTTTGGAATCAGGCCCAGTGTTTCAGTTGGTCCATGCTGTTGGTTAGGATTGGAAATGGGATCTAGACAATCTTTCTGTGAGGAGGGTCATTCCACTAGAGTGAAGGTTATCAATATTGAATCAATTATTTTACATCCCTATGAGTTGAAGGGAAGGAACAGGGTTACATGGGGGAGGGATGCTGGTGTGGTGCAGACCTACCACAAAGGGCTTATCAACGTAACATTATTATGAATGAAAGACAGAAAAGGACAGAAGAATCTTCACAGTATTCTCGAACCACATGTGAAATCAGATCTTTAGAAATGTTGATTACCAGCAACTCTGACTGACTATAAGTGCAAGGCAGTCTTTATAAAAAGGTCACAACTCAAAACAGGGAGTCTAAGCTGCTTGTTTTGCACTGGGTGTATCTACACAAGATGGTATGGCGCAGTAGCTTCATTGCTGGGCTGTAACCGTGCAGTGACAATACTGCACAGTAGTAATAAGCTAACGAGCAGTAGCATTAGCTCATTGCTACTATGCAGTAGTGTCATGCTATAGCGCAGTAGCAACAAGCGACTGCGCTGTAGTTCATTGCTACTGTGCAGTAGCATTTCTGGGCTGTAACCATGCGGTGACAATACTGCACAGTAGTAATGAGCAGTTGCACAGTAGTATTAGTTCATTGCTACTGCGCTGTAGTGTTGGGCAAAAACCGTGCGGCAACGGTTCTGCAGTTACTGCGCAGTCACAATGCTGCCCTACCTCTGCACCACGTCTCTGCAACTTGCCTCACTCAGCTCTTTCTGTGCTCCACTCGGCCCCACAATTTGCATAAGCAAGTACTAAATGACAGCACAGTAACAACTGTGCAATGGGCGGCTCGTGTAGATGCGCCCACTTTCTCTGACTATTTTAGGGAGCCAGTTAATGGGCTGAGATAATATAACCTGATCATTTCAGTCAGTGGAAGCTATGTGTTTTCAGAACTCTTTAAGATCAGGCCCATAGACAGAGGCATGCTGGCCAGTATACCAAGGGTGCTTTTTCTACAATAGCCTATGAGTTTTCTGCCACAGTAATTTGGGAGGTGGAGGTGACTGACCTGGCTGACATGGTAATTTTCCGTGGCCTGCCAGAGCCTAGTGTTCTGGCTCTGCATGTCTAGGAATCCAGACACTCCTTGTCAATGCCTGTTTGCTCCTTTTGACCCAGTAGCTTGAACTAGGAATTTTGCCAAGGTCTCCAGAAGAATTTTCTGTACTGGCTGAGTCAGTCGACAGCGTATTGCACAATGCAGGGATTTTAACAGCATGCTTGGAAATGGTTTTATTATAATAAAAACACTCGCCAGTGGTTTCTTAGTAAAGTAAAGGCTAAGACATAACATTTAGACTTGCTGAAAAGACTTCAAGATGAATCTCTGCATCTCAAAATGCTAAGTGAGGGGGCCACTTCCCCAGCGGAGAGGAATATAATCTGAGCACCTGCAGTTTCATGAATATACACCACAGGCTAGATTCGCACCTGGTATAAATTTGCCGCTTTGGTGATACCTGTGTATTTACACCAGCTTGGACCTTGCATGAATTTGGCCCAAGCCAATAAGCAGTCATAATTGCCTGGCCGTGCATATTTTTCACAGTGCCACACACACATGCTGTAAGGTCTGGACTGCAATTTAAAGTGAGAGAACTGCATGGAGAGAGAGGCAACAGAGATCATTGCTATGCCTCCACCTTGGTGCTCTGGGGCACCGCCATTCCCAGGTGACTGCAAAGGAATGGGCCGTTTGTACTAGAGAATATACTAGAAACCAGAGAAAGGATGAAATGCAACAAACATGGTGGTAAAAGAGGTGTGAGTACTTTGTTTCCAACTGTTTAATATGTCGTTGACCACTAAAGACCAAGCAGAATTAGGGCTCGCATCAAATGAGACGCTAACAGCACCGCCAGTGGGAAATAACTTTTACAAAATGTCTAGTTCTTAATTCCACAATATACTTGAATGTGTGAGGAAAAAACACTAGATAAGGGTGAGGATTACCCCAAGTTTCCAGTTCAAGAAATTATCTTTTTCTCTTCCATTCTTCCATTCCCCACCCCTGCTTTTTCCCTTCACTGGCTACAATTTCCTTAACTCTGTGATGCAGTATGGCTGTCATGTGTGTTGCTGGACTGTTCTTTATTCCAGTCATTGGTCTCACAGGTTTCCACATCGTCCTAGTGGCCCGAGGGCGCACAACCAACGAACAGGTAGGAAAACAGTTCTGCCTCCATAAACCTGGCTGAGATGCAAGAGTTGAAAAGGAACCATGTCCTTGGGGAGGAAAAGGGAAAATGCATCATTTAAAGAAGGGCAAGTCAGCATGGGTAAAGCAACATTAACAGTAGCACTCAAAATGAAGCTTTGCAGAAGTTCTACAGAAGTTGGTTGGCTTTTATTCTCAGATCTCTTCTTCACTCATTTTGGGCAAAACTGTCCCTATGTAGAGGACCAGCACAAGCCTAGGCACCACTGAAATCCCACTGGAGCTTTCAACATAAAAGTTCAGTGGGGCACCCTGCCAACCCCAAAAGTTAAAAAATGATGAGTTGAACTCAAACGAATCATAAGATTTAAAAAAAACCCAAAAAACTCATGGTTTAGTTCTGCCTTCTGATTTTTGAGCCCTCCTGCCAACCCACAGTGTTCATGACAATGAGCAGTTATGAGCTAGCTCATTATCACACACTCACACATCGCTCCTAGCTTGTTTTGCTTCTCCATATCACGTGCTTGCCAGCATCTTGTCTCAAAAGGCCTGTGGAACTTTAATTTCTGTAAAATTAAACCAATGTGTATACTACACTGCCCGGTCTGCAGAGCACCTCCCCAGAATGCCATTTAGTTAATGCTGCCCTACCTCAGCACCACGTCTCTGCAACTTGCTCCAGTCAACTCTCTGTGTCCCACTCACATTTCCCTCTGCCCCACAACATCTCTGTGCCCACATATCTGCCCCTTGTTGCTCTGCAAATGACTTCTCCTCTCATGCCCACGGACACTCTTCACATCCATACTTTTCCAGGGGAGGAAGCTGAGGGGGCAGCTCCAGCTCTGTGTAGGTTGTGATCCCGATATCACTGCAGTATCTTACCACCTTCCAAGTGTATGCTGAGTGATGTGACTAGCGTCTAGCACAGGTGCTCTGTTCTCTTTCTCCTCCTCTCCCCACGTGGAGAATAGTGTGTGTAGTGCCGGATTTGGTTTGGGGGATTCTCTGTGTGTTTGAGAACCCAGGATGAAGAATTGTACCTCACACCTTGGAATAAAAGATGGGGAAGAGTGTGATACTCTTTAACGCCTTTGTGAGTCTACGCTATCAAACCAGTTGTCAAGAAAGCCGTTTTCTACACAGATGAGGTTTCCCCATCAGATAGACAGTCCCATTGTGCCTGAAGAGTAGAGCCATTGGCCACAACCCTTATTCTAGAGCTTAAGGTGATCTTTTAGCAATCCTGAGCCCTGGTAATGACGCATATGAGGGCTAAGACCATGAATCTGATTCTTTTCTATAGAACATGAGTATATAGGGTAGGTTTGATAGCAGAGGATAGGTTTGATGTGCTCACAGTAGGCCTTGTTGCTTAGGATCACATTGAACCATTCGGTACTAGTTGAACGAAAGGGCTGATTTTATGCCGGTACATTGCTATTGTGCAGACAGGAAGTGATAGCCTCAGACCAGGTCTTCACCCACTAAGATGAGATGGGGTCACCTAGCCAACCAGAGAGGCAAGTACTACCCTAGATGCTGCTGGTGAGAGCTTAAAATCAGTGAGCAATCCAGAACCACTCCTAAACTATCACCTGACATGGTGGATATGTGCCTTTGACCAAAAAAATACACCCTGTGGCTGTAGACTCTTCAAAATACTTTCCTCCACCTGCCAGAATCTCCTCTGTTTTGTTTGGTTTCAGCGTCTACCAGGCGTTCTTCATCTCTACTTTAATCTTCTCCAAACACCTTGGAGAGGAGGGGGTAGAAAGCACCCTGTTCAAGTTCACAGATGACACTAAGATGTGGGGGGAAGTGGGTACACTAGTAGGACAGAACAGGCTGCAAGCGGATCTAGACAGGTTACAGGGGTGGGCCGAAGAGAACAGGATGGGGTTCAACACTGACAAGTGCAGGGTAATGCACCTGGGGAGGAAGAACCAGCAGCATACCTACAGGCTGGGGAATTCCCTTCTTGCCAGTGTTGAGACAGAAAAGGATCTTGGAGTCATCATTGATGCTACAATGAACATGGGCCGACAGTGTGGGGACGCAGTCAGGAAGGCCAACCATACCTTGTCGTCCATCCATAGATGCATCTCAAGCAGGTCCAAGGAGGTGATCCTCTCCCTTTATGCGACACTGGTCAGGCCACAGCTGGAGTACTGAGTCCAGTTCTGGGTGCCGCACTTCAGGAGGGATGTGGCCAATATGGAGAGGGTCCAAAGGAGGGCCACCCGCATGATCAGGGGTTAGCAGGGCAGGCCCTATGAGGAGAGGCTACAAGACCTGAACCTGTTCAGCCTCCAGAAGAGAAGGCTGAGAGGGGATCTAGTGGCTGTCTATAAACTAGTCAAGGGGGACCAGCAGGCAATGGGAGAGTCCCTGTTTCCCCCGAGCAATCCCGGGAGTTACAAGAAACAACGGACACAAGCTAGCGAAGGGTAGTTTCAGGCTAGACATCAGGAGGTGCTATTTCATTGTCAGGCAGGGGGTCGGACCAGATGATCTCCTCAGGTCCCTTCCGACCCTACCAACTATGAAACTATGAAACCTTGGTGGTAGTGTTATGGTCACATTTAGTAAAGGAAAGGTAGAGCTGCGTTATCTGCCTGTTGGTGGCAACTGAGCCTGCATTTAACCTGCTCACCTAATGGCTGCACGTAGATTGCTAGAGCAGAGAAAACCGATCCTTGTGGGGCTCTCCACGTGAGAGCCAATGGTCACGGTGCAGTTGCACATCCCTGCTTTTCTGGGTTTGCCCTCCCTTCTGGTGAGTGTGGCATTAGTTCCTGTTAGTGAAAGTGCAATGGGAAAATTATAGGGAGAGGTGGATGTGGAAAGTCATGCATGGATGGGTCAGTTAAAAAGAGGGCGAAGCACTTAGTGAAAAGGATGTGCAAGGACAGCAGAAGTGCAGAACAGCCAAGACAGGCCCACCCACCCATGGAATGCTAAGGTTTGGCTGGTGCCTCTTGTACGTCCGGTCTCGAGCGCTGCACTGAATGTTTTTCCAGGTGACGGGTAAGTTCCGTGGGGGTGTGAACCCTTTCACTCGAGGATGCTGTGGAAACGTGGAACATGTGCTCTGCAGTCCTCTGGCTCCCAGGTAAGGAGGGAACAGTCTAAGGTAGGGTTTGGGTGAGGGGGATCAGAGGCAAAAAATACTGCATGTAAATCAGACCTGAGTTCTAAAGGGATTCAATTTAGCCTTCTGAGCTATCCAGAGTCTGGCATCCCTCGTTCCTGAAAGCTGCCCGAGAGACATGGAGGCCACATCATGATGCATTGGCAGAGCTCTAGGGAAGCTTGCAGAGAGCCACCTTTACTTTGACAGCTCTAGCCAATCTGGCCAGTTTCTTCTTTAATGTAATTCACTTTTTTCATCCCCTAGACACATGTTTGTGACAAACAGGCTAAATGATACTGGCATCTTCTTGATTTTTTTTTAAATTTTTTCAGCCATTCCATCCTTGTTCAGAAGGATCCTCATGGGTTGATAACCGGTCCCGCCCTTATATAATGTTGATTCTTAATGTTCATTCTTCAAGTTGTTTTATCCAGTGAAATTCAGTAACTGGGTAGATCCATGTTGGCCATAATCTTCCTAACACAGCTCACTCTCTATGTTGCTCGCTCTCCCTCACAAATAACCATATTCAAATACCTGAACAGTGGTTATAAAGAGGATGGGGTAGATTATTCTCTGTGGCTTCAGAGACAAGCCAAAAGCAACAGTCTTAAATTGCAGCAAGGAGCATTTTAAGACCTTTCTGAGGATTAGGGTGGTTAAGTATTGGAATAGACTGAGTTAAAAAATGATGATTCCAGAAGAGGCTGCCCGGAAGGCGTAGAATCTCCATCCTTGGAAGTTTTTAGACAGATACTTGACTGGGATGGCTTAGTCAGAGATTGATCCTGCCTTGAGCAGGGGGCTGGACTAGATGACCTCCTGAGGTCCCTTCCAGCCACACTTTTCTATAAAGGTGCTGAGTTGTCCAGCACACACATCCTTTTAATGATGCTATGAGTGGGATGAATATGGGCTTTTCAAGATGCTGAGCTATCCCAACCTACACATGCTTTTGTTTGCAGCATGTGTTTTTTGCTGATTAGACAGCAAGCAAATCTTAGGAGAGTGTTGCGAAGGTGTTAACTGAGAGGACTGAAGCCTCAATTGCCTGCACTCACCAGGATTTGAATTGGCAGAGTGTTAAAATCTGATTGGTGTCTATGCTGGACTCTTAATTTTCTTTTGTAGTCTTCTTGTCCAGATAAAGTACTGAGGAGTGTCATCTTTTTTTAACAGCCACTGCTATACTCAGATGGCCTTTCAGAGTTTACAGAATTTAGAATTTACACTCTGAGGGTTTTACCAAGACCCACAAAACTGTCAGATGTATTCTTCCTGAAAAACTTATGGGAGTCACTCCAGAAACCACCACTGCTGAAATGTCCTGTCCACTAGCCAAATCAGAGGAAGTTTCCATGGGTATTTTGCTTTCATGCCCCCTTGGATCATATGCTGGTGGTGTCTCCGTTAAATGTGTTGCTTTGTTTTCCTCCATCTATGTGTAAGCTTTGTCTCCCCTACATATGTTATCCTTGTAAGTGCAGCTTTGCAAAAGTCTATTAATTTGCTCAACTGGGGATCAGTGCTTTCTTGATGAGTGTAAAATATTGTTAGCTTTTCATTAGCCATAATAATGGCAAGGGGTTTGGTAAGTAGTTCTTGCTTGATCTGGCAATTTTTGTAAGCATTTTGTAAATGGGCTTTCTGAGAGATTGGGCACATCTAACAATCTGGAGAACACACTTCCTTTCTCTTCTCATCTGGGAATGTGGAAGTCTCCTGTAGGGCTATTTGACAAGGCACATTAGTGCAATTTTTGAGACCATACTATCTAGCTGAACGACTTGTGTTATTTTTGGTATATAGGAACTCCCAGGTGTAGTGGTTGAAATAGCAGATGGGATGCCCTCAGTTGCATGAAGTGTAATACACAGCTGATGAACTTTTTCTTTTCTTTTCTTTTCTTTGTTGTCAGAATAAGGACCTTTAACATGGGAACCACTAAATATAGTGACTCACTTCACTATGGAAAATACAGAAGGGTCAAGCATCACTATTAAAATACAGTTGCTCCCTCCCCCAGCAGTGAAACAAACCCATCACTTCTTACCTAATTCCCAGAAATTCTACTTTAACAATAAGTCCTAGTGTTGCTGAGGAAAGTAGAAAGTAAGGTGAAGTCCAGCGGGGCAATGTCATTCCTGAAATGTGTGTTCTGATGTTAGCCTCCCTAGAAAGGATCTAACTTTCCCACTCCCACTGCTGCCTCCCCAGAGGTTTGTATGTCTTCTAACTGCAGAGACACCAACTCCAGTTTGGCTTGCACGTATCTTCTTGTGTCACCTATACTTCTACAGAAATCCATGCTTTATTGAGAGGTGGCAGTCTGCTGTCTTCTTCCTGCTCCTCACCCAAATTACATTTGAGTATTGAAGATCAGTGCAAAACTTCTGGGCTTCTTTATTGCTACCTCTCCCATTTATCTCCTGAGATCCACTCCAACCATTGTATTGCTGCTTTAAAATAACCTGAGCAGGCATCCACTGAGAGAAATCTTTTACTTGCACAGACTTTATCAAATCTCTTAAATTGTACTGCACATATGAGATTTTCTTGTCTGCATGCTATGCTTTTGTTAAAAAAAATGATTGATATTGAATTGATTGATCAGGTACATTGCTGAGCCAAAGAAAAAGCAGGCTGTGAGTGTGAAACCTCCTTTCCTCAGACCAGCTCTATGTGAGCGACAGATCACGGTGAAGATAAGTGATAATGGGATCCAAGCCAATCTTAACCGCAGCAAGGTAAAACAGCCCTCAGTACCCTCTGTTTAGCAGTAGGACTTGAAACTCTTTCCTACAGCTGAAAATAACTCTGGTCATTGGAAACACAGAGAAAATACACCTCTGGAAGAACATGAAGACAGGTCCTCTCCCAAGACACTGAATTTTGAAATTAAACCAGGAACAATAATATCAAGTGGCTGTTGACACTGAAAGTTTACTTTTTGTAATTCTCTAACAGGAGAGCAGTTGTGTTTTTAGAAGGAGATGTTTTTCCTTTGTGATAAGTTGGGTGAATTCTGGCAGGGGTCCTTTTAACTTCTTGGTCCTCAGATTATTTTTATCTAATCTGCACTGTGCTGATGTCAGAAATCCTTGCACCAGATTTGCTAAAGACAGGCCTTAAGGTTCAAACATGCAGTCAGTAGTCAGCATATTGGACTGGGAACCAGAAGAGCTGGGATCCTTTCATAGCTGTGCCATTGACAGTGACAGAGCAGCGTGTCATTCTACATGCCTCAGTCTCATCTGGTGTATAATGAAGATGTCTTCACTTTTGTTAGATATTGTGGGATTTATGGTGCTAAATGTTATAGCCATTAGCAGTTATTTTTCAGCCTTATTCTAGCAAACTCCTGGTTTAGTCTTCTTGTTTTTAAATGACTATTAGCTGCTGAGTTAACATGTGGTATAACATGCCCTTGCATTAGTAAGCCCTCACTCTTTAATGCCATTAACATTGCTCTTTCATGCCATGGTTATTTTCAGTCTAAAATTAGCCTGGAGGGTCTGGAGGATAAAACCATGGATGTGCAGCCACCTCTGCCACCCAAAGGAGATCCAAGCAAGTACTCAGAATTAAAAGGGCAACTGGGGACCAGTGAAGGTACAGTGACCTGTTCAAAACTTTATTTTTGATGGAATTAAAATATTTTAGTCTACCAAATAGGTGTTCACCATTCTTCCACAAGTGTCATGGGCTCTGTTCCTTGAATTCTGGAGGTAGCTCTCAAATCTTAGTTTGTGCTTCTGCCCCAGCCCAGAGAAGGAGATTCAAAGAGCAAGGACAAGGCACCAGCTCGGCCTGCCTGCATGGGTTGTGCACTAGTCAGAGTCTTAGGTTTGGGTCCTGCTGTCTCCCATATTTGGATGCCAGCCCTTTCTGTTGTTTTAGCACTGGTTGTTTCATGGAAGAGGCAAGAGGAGCCAGAAATGTGTGCACGGGTGGTTTGGAAGTGCCTCCAAATGAGGCCATGGAGCTTGGGCAGTAAGACATCTAATTTCAAAAGTGTTTCAATTAAATGTTTCAGCATTTTCAAAATTTCTCTTGCACCTTCTTCAGCTAAAGCTTTTTGCAGGATTCAGCCTAATTTGCAAACCATGTTGGTCTGTGAAAGGCCATTTTCAGTGAACTTACTATATCAATTGAAGAAAATGTTGCCTAGGTACAGCTATGATATCTTGTGTTTCCCTTGTTTTATTTACACTGTAAGCACTCTGGACCAGGGAATAGAGGGATCCAGTCCTGCAAAGAGAGACAGTGAAATGCACAGTTACTGCCATGTGGAACTCCACATAGGAGCACATACATGCGAGGTTTTTATCTCTTTGCAGGACTGGGCCAAATCTGAAAAGTGCCATGTATGTTTATGGAGTAACATACCAATAATGGTGAATGCCCAATCTCATCACACTGTTAATATACCCTCTGTTGGCATTTGTTTTTCCAGAAGGTAGTCTTTCACCCAAAATGATCAGCCCCCCCACTCCTGCTATGTATAAGTATCGACCAGCGTTCAGCAACAATCCCAAAGTCCACTACCACGCTGCAGCTGAGCAGGTGAGCATGCCGCACAAGCCCAGAAAAACTTGTTCCCAACTTGCACTAGGCAACTTCAACATGATGATAAATTTACCTCAAGACTGTTGTGCATGTTACAATCTAGAAGTAAATACTGGTATTTAGCAGTTAGACAGAATGGCACTTCCCAGGCTGAATATACAGTGCAGCTGGCATGAAATCATATCTGCTTTTTCCATATTCCTGTAACTGTCAGGATTGATAAAAGATGCCCTATTGACAAATGTGCCCTGTTGCTTTACTAAATTTGAGGCCTGATCCTGAGAAGCTGAGAACTGTTCATTCCCATTGACTTCAGCTAACATGGATCCCAAACCTGTGTGCTTCAGTGGAAGTTATATGTACTTAGCACTTCTCAAGACCAGACCCTTTAGGCTGATGAATAACAAGCTCTAGTGATTTCTTAACATATAAGCTTACTGAGCAGGAAGAACTTGGATTTCCAAGGGGGATTGTCTCATTGTTGAAATGAATATGAGTGTAAATTCAAACTGCTCTAACCTTTATTCCAAGTACTTTTGGTTATGATGGTTCGATGTCTAGTTGACAGCTGGTGCCCCAGGGGTTAGTGCTGGGGCCAGTTGTGTTCAGTATATCAGTGATCTGGAAGATGGGATGGAGCGCACCCTCAGCAAGTTTGCAGATGACACCAAGCTGGGGAGAGTAGTAGATAGACTAGAGGGTAGGGCTAGGATTCAGAGAGACCTAGACAAATTGGAGGATTGGACCAAAAGGAATTTCATGAGGTTCAAGGACAAGTGCACATAGGATGGAACAATCCTATGCACTGGTTCAGGCTGGGGACAGCTCTGCAGAAAAGGACCTGGGGGTTACAGTGGACAATAAGCTGAATATGAACCAACAGTGTGCCCTTGTTGTGAAGCAGGCTACCAGCGTGTAAGCTGCATTAGAAGAAGCATTGCCAGCAGATTGAGGGAAGTGATTATTCCCCTCTATTTGGTACTGGTGAGGCCACATCTGGAATGCATTGTCTAGTTTTGGACCCCCCACTACAGAAAGGATGTGGACAAATTGGAAAGAGGCCAGCAGAGGGCAACAAAAATGGTTAGGGGGCTGGGGGACATGACTTATGAGTAGGTCATAAGAAAGGCGGTTTTTGCCTCCTGGCCAATCAGCGGGGCAGGGGCGGGGAGTGAAATGAGCAAGATTAAAGCTGTGCGGCGCGCTTCCACTGCGATTTCGGTAGGTCCCTACTTATGACGAGAGGCTGAGGGAACTGGGCTCATTTAGTCTGGAGAAAAGAAGATTGAGGGGGGATTTAATAGCAGCCTTCAACTACTTGAAGTGTGTTTTAAAAGAGGATGGAGATGGACTGTTCTCAGTGGTGGGAGATGACAAAGCAAGGAGAAAAGGTCTCAAGTTGCAGCAAGGGAAGATTAGGTTAGATATTAGGAAAAACTTTCTCATGAGGGGAGTAATAAAACACTGGAACAGGTTAGTCAGGAAGGTTTTGGATTCTCCATCCTTGGAGGTTTTTAAGACCCAGCTAGACAAAGCCTTGGCTGGGATGATCTAGTTGGGGATGGTCCTATTTTGAGCACGGGGTTAGACTCGATGACTTCCTGAGGTCCCTTCTGACCCTAATTTTCTATGATTCAAGGTTTTTTTTTAAACACAGTTTACACCAACTCTTTCCATTATACATATATAATGTCAGCACAGTTAAAAGGACATACTCTCCTGGAAAATGGACTAAAAAATTGCCCATGGCAAAGTCCATGTATACCTTTTATATACGGAAAGAAATTTCCCCTGAAACAAATAGCCCAGTGCTGTTTTCCTACAATTAAATTCAGCAACTCCTCCAAGATCAAGGAAAATATAGTACACAAGATATGAAACAAGAGGCAGATTAAAGCATATTTTAGACATCAGTGTTGGAGATTGAGGAAAGAGGCATATGTTAAATGATGGAGAAAAATTTAATAGTGTCCTTTTAACGTTGCAAATGCAAGTGGTGCCTGCTCACTCAGCAGCAG